GCACCAACTTATAATGAGAGAGAGAAAAAAAAAAACATCGCTCATACTTCATCAATTCAATCTTAAATTCTTCATTCATATATTGACGTCGTTATTTCATTGTTAATTCTTCATTCGATTTAGTCAGAGTTCTTTTGTTTAGTACCTTTTTTACCCCCAGCTAATAGACACTATGGGTGAAAGGAAAATCCTCTATGTGTATGGACACAGTTGTTCCATAAATAACCTGGAGATTCCCCTGGAGCAGCCGAAACGTCAGAAGAATCCGAACGTCAAGCAGCAGAAAAAAAGTCATCGGCATCCCAAAGGCTGGTCCGTCCCAAGCCGATTCCCACGTGAGAGTCAATTATGCTGCGTTCGTTTTTTATTTATTTATTTGTTATTATTTTTTTTGTGTGTGTGAAATGTCTCTGCACATAGACGGCTCTGCTTAGCTACAAAGGAGTCAATTAGTAGACCTTGTGACCTCACCTAATTTCACCTTATCTTGAATTGGCGAGAAAAACGTCGTTTCTCGTGGCGTTTCTCTGAGGCGTCGCATTCGATATGCTGAGCGACAAATTACGTTTACTTGTCTCAATCGAGTAACTACTAGTTGGGTGGATCCAAGTATCGACACACACACAAACACACACACACACACACATACACATACACACACACACACACATACACACACATACACACACACTCACTCACTCACTATGTTCCATGAATAATACATAGCATGTTTTCTGTTTGGTGGCGAAAAGAAAAAAATCTAGTTCACGAAAACCACTTACAATGGTATTAACAATTTTTGCTGGCATACATAGATACTGGGGGTACGTTCCCTGATGGTCTTAATAGAAGAGAAGTGTGGAGAAAGATGAGAACCACTACCGACCTTGGCTGAAATAATTACCCAGTTCATTAGCGAATATGGAGGACGGGGGTGTGTGAATGGGGGGGGGGGAGGGATGTTTGCCTGATAGTTTATGGATCCGGCGCCAAACAGTTGAGATAGATGTACAGGATGTTATGGAGGAAACATAATTTCACCAGCTATTTGTTTTACTATTCCGGATTGTACGACGAAGACAGGCGGATACTCTATTAAAGGAGATAAGGGCTGGCAGTTGATTTGGGGTACCTCGCTTGTAGCGGTAACTGTTCCAGGCTGCACGTTTTAAGCGAAGCGGTTTAGTGCAGTCAGAATGCCACCATGGAACACATTTGGAGGTATAGGGTCTTGAGGTTCGAGGAATAGCTGTATGGGCAGCTCTTAGGACTATAGTAGTGAAACATTGTATCATTTGTGAAATAGATGAGAGGGAGGATGGAGGGATATGAGTAGCAGAGAGTGAAGTGAAAGTACGCCAGCGTTGGGAGTTAGGAAGTGGTACATATGAAGTAGGAGGAAGGAGAACAGGAAAGTGGTCACTATAGGGAAACTGGTCTAGAACTGACCAATGGAAATCTAAATGAAGAGAAGGGGAACACAGAAAGAGGTCATTGCATGTATCAAAGTGTGTGGGGCGATCTGAATTTAGAATAATAAGGTCAGCTGTAGAGAGGAAGCGCTCTAGAGATCGGCCACGGGAGTTGATGATAGAATCACCCCAAAGAGTGTGGCGGCAGTTAAAATCACCTACTATGAGGAAAGGTGGTTGAAGTTGGGAAATTAGATTTTCAAAAGCAACAAAGTCAATGGGGTGGGATGGGGAGAGGTAGACTGAAATCACTGTGATCCAGCGACGAAGAAAGATGTCAATAACTGTGCAAGGGGCAGTGGTTTGAAAGGGAGGTATGACATAAGGTGTTTTCTGGTTAATAAGTATGGACGAGACATAAAGGGAGTGTGGGAAGAGACAAAATGGTAATTGGGGATTGGTATAGGAGGAAGTGTAAGAAAAGTCTCTTGGAGGCTTATAATGAATGGGTTATAAGGGGAAAGGATATGACGAAGGTCTGTGAGAGCGGAAGCAAGTACGTGTTGTGTTGTGAGGGGGTAGGAGGATAGACTGTAGGGGGATATGAGTAGGAGGAGGATGGATATCGGCAGTCACTTTGAGTGTGGAGGGAGCGGGAGTTGTAGAATTCGAAGGTGGATGAGGGGTTTTAGTGTCAGTTTGGGACTCGAGTAGATAGTTTTGAATATCTTCAAGAATTTTTGTAATGGAGTTGGTTGGGAAGTTTTGTGAGACAAAGGTTTTCTTGTGAGGGGGGGGGGGGAGAGAAGACTGGTGTCTGAAGAGTGGGGGCAAAGGAAGGTGGAGGTGATTGTGTGGTAGGGGAAGAGGGGGTGGAACATTTAGTCTGTCTGTTGCGGGTAGTGCGGGGAGGGAGAAGGGAAGGTGTTGGGGCTGTAGCAGAGATTGAAGTGTCTGGATTTAGGATGGCAAAAGAATTTGGTGGGGAAGGTAGGAGGTATAAGAAGGGAAGTTAGATGGAGGAGGGGTAGGTTTAGGAGAGGGTGTAGGAGTCTGGGAGGTAGGGGGAGTGGCAGAGTGAGCGACATTACTGGAGTAGGGAGTGAGAGAAAAACCTCGTCGACGTGCTTCCTGTCTGGAGTGAGTCTAAGTCTGAATCTGAGAGTTGCTACCTCAGACTCATATCTATAGGTGGGGCATCCCTTATAAAATACATTATGGAGGCCGCCACAGTTGGCACATATGTGTGTTTGTGCAGAGCAGTTTGATCGAGTATGGCCAGGTTGGGCACATAGCAGGCCTCTGGCTGTGGAACGGCAATGTTTGGCTGGATGTCCTAAACGCCAATAATTTTGGCACTGACGAGGAGGTTGGTATGGTCGGACAGGGAGGGATTCTCCACCTATGTAAACATTAAAGGGGAGGTCATGTCTATGGAAAGTAATTTTGGCAATGTTAGTGAGGTGACTTTCTTACGATGCCCTCTGGGAGGAATGGAGTAGCATTGTACTGATGTCGCACCACAGTCCGTGAGACAGGCGAGTAAGTCTTCTCCACAATCTGACCAACTTTTGTTATAGATAGGGCAATTTGCTGGGGAGATAGAAACAGTTCCAGTGCAAGTATTGAGGGTTGGATGGGGTTCTGCAGGGATGGGGTTACCATATAGATTAGTTAAATTTGATAATGCTATAGCTTGGTTTTCAGATGTTATTGTGACGAGACGGGAATGGTCGGGTCGGCTACGAAAAGAGACTTTGCCTACTTGTTTTTGGAGACATTGCTGGAAGAGAAGGGTGTTGTTAGAGTAGGGAGCTGTGGGAGGGATCGCGAAAAATCGGTCCCATTTGGCTGGGCTTAATAGAGTATTTAAGGTTTTTGTAGAGATGGTAGTAGAAGGACGATGGCGTGTGGAAGAGGGAGTAGTGTTGAGGGAGGCAGTGTTATGGAGAGGTGGGCAATAAGGCTGTAAAGTAGTAATAAGGGAGGATGGGGTAGTTGATGACGAAGGTTGTGAGGGTAGAGGTGTTGAAGTTGAGCATGTTGGGAGAGTGGAAATGTTTCCTGGGGGTTGAGTGTTGACTAGGGTGGATACTGTACTAGTAGGCATTGAGGAGGGAGTAGTATTTGTAGCGTTTGGAGCCGTGGTCAAAGGAGAGCCTGGGGTCAGGGAATCAGGAGAGTCTGAATTGTTGGGGCTATTTGATGAAGGGGCAAGCCTCATTACCCCATGCCCATGGCTCCCTCAGACCGTTCAGGACTGGCACAAAGTCAGCCTTTCATCCTTTCAGCATGGCTCTCACACCTTAGGAGGTGGATAGTAAAAGGGGTTGGTGAAAGGACAGACACGAAAAAGTAGGAGGGGAAAAAAGACCATGCAAAATTAGTTGAGTTGAGGGCTGAGTCCCAAGGTTGGGAGTTCCCCATCAATGGGTCCCAGTCTCCATCTCCTAAGCCCCCCACGACAACAACGGGCAAGGGATGGGGGGGGGGGGGGCGAAATATGAAATGGATTATGTAGTTTCCAAAAATAGACACTAATACACTTGTTGGTCTTTTATATTCTACCAATCACACTCTATGTTACAAACAGCCTCAAGTCTTTACTTCATTCATAAAAATACTATATACTCTCTGTTTACATCAATGCTGTGCCAGATGTACAAAAGTGTGACCCCAGTATGTGTACTGAAATATAATTCCACAATTGTACATGTACTACATGCCCAGAAATGGGTTAAGCTCTAACCTGTCATATTTAGGTTTAACCCATTGCCAACGGGCATGGCATGTACGTGCATGCCATGCCTACTGTGAGTTTACTTGTTTAATTGTTTTAACACACAGATGGCTACTCCTGTACTAAATCGCCAGTTATGAATACTGCCTGTCCCGCCCGTTTACCCTTTTCATTGATTTACGAAAATATTTTACATTATCTTATTTTGCTGTTACTAATGTTTATAACGTTATAGTAATTATAATGTTTATAATAAAGATAACACTATCAATATTCATAACACTAGTTAAAAATATGTTTTTCCTGCCAATTGAAGGAAAGGTGAAATCAGATAAGGTCCCAAGATCTATTAATTGATTCCTTTGTGGCTAAGCACTAGCAGAGCCATCTATGAGCAGACATTTCACAAAAATATAAAAAATGAGCACATTTTCCCCATTTTTTATTCATTTTCCCTGGTGGCAAAGAGTTAAAATATGAAAAAAATAATAATAAATCCTCTTTTGGTCTTTGGTAGGGGGTAGCTGCAACCACCCACCCCCTTTTTGAAATATATAGCATTATTGTTGTGTGTAATATATGTTTTTGTGTACGCATTGTGTGTGTATTCCCAAAGTGTCTGTTTCTCTCTTATAGGTCCCAGTACTTCAACTGGAGATGTTTCAGAAGAGAGCTGCTTGAAGCAAGAGAAGAAACATAAGAAGAAATAGTTAAACAAATGCTATGCAATATGCTATGCTATATGCAATAAAAAGATTTCTTCATTGTGCCTTTAATTATGATTCATAAGGGATCATCATTTCAATGATGTTCAATAATACTAAAATGGAATAAAAAAAAAACAAAAAAAACAGGATTATCATTTATTTACTGTTTTTGTAAATACATCAAATAATGCCTAACAATACATCAGAAAGTTTCTCCAGAATGGAAAATTTCACGAGCTTGTGTTAGCATCAATCAGTAGAATATTTCCTGACAAAATATGTTGGTAATCCTGACTTACAGTTATTAGTGGGAACACTCACTTACGATAATTTTGTCAGAACTGTTTCTCTCACTTCTTTGTAAAATACTTTCCTTCATTATAAATGGAACATTGGTTATGCAAACATAGTGATACATGATGCAAAGTAAATTATCCTGTTTTGTTTTGTTTTTTTTTGTGTGTATAATACTGACTTCATGCCAGTTTGATAGGCCATTACAACTGACCTACTTAATACAAGACAAATTTAATAACAATCTTTTTTTTTTTTCTTTTACTGAAGCACCAACTCAAAATGTGTTTAGATACAAAGCTTGAGCATTTTATAGTCCACATGCCCCAGCAATGTTTATTGAGACAAACCTGCTAAAAAAAGGGGGTAAGTTACTCTTTACTTGCTTGTATTATATTGCACTGTATCGTCAATAATACAGTACCAAGAGAGTAGAACACACTGCAGTCTTGGCAGTATGGTTCTGGCATTGTCACCATAGCAGAACATCAGAAATGATATGTCCAAAGTGAACAATCATAAATCCTTACAATAAAATACAACAAAAAGATATTAAAGCTGGCCTGAAGTTTTGAAGATAAGCTACTGCTGCTACAACATGTAACATGTAAGGAAATAAGCTTTACATATTACAAAATACTGTACAAAATAAATACAGGGTAAATCCGTAGAACAAGTCTACAGATGAAGACACTCATACGTACAGACTACAAAATCCATATTCAGATATGAACACAAACTTACTTGCATTGTGTAATTAACATTAAATTAGGAAAATTTTTCTTCATAATCTAAACTAAAGTCTGCTTATCAGATGCTTATCATAAGGCAAATAAGGAATCAAACTGCAGGGAATACACCATCCAATGCCTTACTACAATGGAAAGGACTTCCATTACATCACACAATATCAACAAGGCCTTCTTCATCAGTTTGACCAAATAGTCAAATGTTAGAAGTGACTAGTCAAAATAGTTTACCATATCACTGATTTAATTAGTTTCCAAATGAAGCTTATGGTAGCATAACTAAACAAACCATTATTTTCAGAGTTTGTAGGTACTGAAAAAGCAATTTGAAAGTCTAAGAAGCTACCATAAATAAATGAGCTCTTAGAATGATTATATGCTCCTTCTCATTTTAAAATATACCTGAAAACTGAACCTATTACAACTCTAATTCTTAGCACAATAAATTGGCTGTATTACAAAGTTTTGTAGCGAGCTGGTCTACAGAAGTATCCACCTTTTTTAGAGTCTTACATTTCCATGACAGCAACTGCCATGAATGTTTTGTGACACTAGAAAGTAAATTGATATAACTGTTTTTACTCTGAGCATTTTTTTTCACTACAGACTAACCATATAAATATATTGCTAGTTTGTTATACATAGTGAAATAATGAATAAATAAACTATTTTTCCCCACACATACAAAATTTGTTCTTAGCATAAATAGCACAAAATAGAAAAAAGGTGATTAACACAATACCAATCTACTGCCTAATGTGAGTCGTTTTTTCCATTACTGCTTTTCTTTTTCCATTCAGTAGAAATACTTTCACAGCAATTAGTATGTACCAAATATTTGTGCACACTGGTGTGTATGTATGTATGTATGTTTATATATATATATATATATATATATATATATATATATATATATATATATATATATATATATATATATATATATATATATATCCTTACAACAAAAAAATAATGTATATTACTGAAATTTGCCATGGCATTTATTTTTCCTAAACAACTTTAGCAAAATCATGGAAATAAAATGTTTTACTTAACAAAAGGAGTCTTCTTTTTCCTTATGTGTACAAGGAAAATTAAAATGGCTGAAACAAAATCTTTTACCACACAGCGACATGGTTCTCCTTTTAATATTTTATTACACTAACCAAATTCTTAGATTATAGAGCTGTACATTATTACATCGCACACTGTAATATGTTCATGAAAGGTTATGTTGCTAACTGTACATGTGCTGGAGAATACTTTTTACAAATGCACATTGTGAGTACAGCACAGTGAACTACACGACTAGGATAGGTTCCGCTATATACAGTTGGGATACAACAGGCAACAATACACACGTGGATGTGCTTGTATACCACTTTGAGATCTTGATTAAGACTTACCGCTTTTCATGCATTCTGTGAATCATGAAAAAAGGATAAAATAAGATTAAGAAAAATTACCATCATTTCATTCATAATCACATCTTTCTAATCTGTGCATCTGTGTCCTATTTTTTCTTAGATTTGAGAACTGAGGAATCTGAAATTTGCATCCAGTCGAACATAATTACAGTGATGGGGAAATTTATCTTGATTTCAAACTGACATACAAGCCAACCTTGCACAAACTTTGGTGTGGGGTCTCAGACAAGCGGATAAAACACTGTACTGAGCATTGTCACTATCTTGGCACCAGGACGGTAAATGTGACACAGAGATCCAAAGTTGTGTTTGCAAATGTTACCAGTCAACTTCCACAGCATTTTTTTCTTTCCCTTTCTTCCATGACCAGTATTCACCTTCACTCATTATTAAAACAGAAAATAATGTATTGTAATTTTCAAGTTAAAAAAGAAAAATTATATAATAAACTACAAATTTCCAGTCACATGGGTGAGGGTACCCTTCCTTGTTTTGCAAACACATACACTTTCTATGGTTCATTAACCTGAACTTCATGCAAGTGCTTATGAATCTCGTTATGACACTAAAGATGTCACCACTGTTACTATATCACTGCTTTGTTGCACTCATCCTTATCATGGTCATGTCTGTTCTGTAAATAGTTATCCACTATTGTGATACAAGTTATTACCATTAACAGAGAACTGATGTGGCAGCAGTATTCTTTCAAGTCCTACAAGTCTTGGTAAGAAAGCCTGCTTTGTAATTTCATTCACTTTTCCTGAATCTTTCTTGTCCTCTGAAGCTTCCTTTGACCCACACCAGAAACAACCTGAATAGAAAAAGGATCCAGTTAATTTCACTGCCTATTATAACTTAAAGGTCTTAAACTACAATTACGTATTAACACAAGTTTGTCTGTTAAATCAACAAAATATTTCCATGAGAAGAAAGTGATTCATACACATCTGCAAATCTAAACATAAGGATACTACAAAATAATCTACTTCCATACCTTATTTGTAAGTATCTGTTGCAAAGAGGCTTGTCTATAGTAAGAACACTAGTCTTCTGTCCTTTTCTTGTCACTCCTGAGGCATCTATGCTTGTCCGTGATATTTTTCTGCTCTTCAGGTGGACAATATTTTTTTATCAGTAGTCAGTAGAAACAGTGGTGCATCTTCATGGGAATCCTTGGTGCTGTGGCCGGGAATCACTGCATTCCATCCTCGTCTTTCTGCAAGTATGTGAGATGCTGATATTTCGTGACATCAAAGAAAGTTCCAGATCAGAGCATAAAAACCACATACTATGAATCACATTTTAGCAGAAGTAATCTATTTTAGTAGATAGTAAAATCAACTGTCACTGCATTCAATTTCCATAATTCTACTTTCCCAGGGATAAACAAACCCAAAAAAAAAAAACTTCAGTAAATGCATGCCACAACCATAACAGCTCTTCAAGATTTCTCAAATTAATATCACACCTGTCAAGTTGCAAAAGCACTAAAATTACCCAAAATCAATACCATATAACAAACTAAAATTTGCAACACAGCGAGGTAACTAAGACACTAGAAGTTCAAAAATGTTTCAAATGGTCTTAATCACTTGATATATATTTCAATGACAAGTTATCATTATTTTAATTATACTTTTAATCTTGCTTCTTTGTCGGTGTATATGTTGATCTGTCTAAAGGTCGGGAGAAATGAGCTTGCAACTGCGGAGCACGCACATGAGTGAGTGAATGCAGTAACAAATGATGACTGAGTAGGATCAGATAAGTGATTGATTGCTGAATGAATAAATGAGTATGGGTGAGTTAGTGTGTGAGTGGTTGACAGAAGGTAAATGATTGGTTGATTCGCTGAATGAATAAGCGAGAATGAATGAATGGGTGAGAATGTTTGCAAGGATGAACAAAAGTAACCGAAGGAATGAGTGACGGTAAGTAGGATGGCTGTGGGGATGAACGAGTGCGGGTGTGTACAGCGTGCATGTGCGTGAGACTTCATCAGAACCGTAAACCCCTCGGCCGACGTCGACCCGAAGGCCCGCGTCGCCGGGACGGCCTAGCGGACTCGACTTACGGTCATAGCGGCGTTTCCTTCTTGAGCGGCAGGCCGTTGGGCCTCGCTGGCGGTTGTCGAGGGCGACCACTGAGGCCGTTCCTGAGGAGGTGGGCGGCCTTCGCATGAGCGGCCTTAAGGCTGGGGTTGGTGACGATGCCATTGCGGCGCGGGCGCGGCTCGGGGGATCGCGTGCCCAGGATGATGCGCATGTGCTGGTCCTGAGTGAAGGTGAACCCGGAGGAGCCGGGCGAGCCTGCACCGCCAACGCCCGGCACGCTCACGCCCATGCCGGGGATGCTGCCCAGCCCGGGCACGACGCCGCCTCCGCCGCCGCCGCCACTCAACACGCCGCCGCCTCGACGGCCGATCTTGCAAAATAATGAAGGACATATAGTGCGTCATAAGGGGGACTGATTAGTCTTACCTGGAAGGACACCTGTTTGCATTAGTTAAATAAGTTATCAATGTCAGTCCTCCGGCAGTTAGTGCAGCCATGAGAACACCACCACAGCCCTTATATTAGCCACAGCCTAATCTATTCAGCGTTCATGAAAGCTGCAACTAAGGGTGAATAATAAGAAAGGAAAACTTCCGCCGAGGCAACCACAGCCGGCAGATCTACCTGCGCTCGACACCCGGGGAAGGCTCAATACACAAAACCTTACTAACAGAAGAGAGAATCCCTTTTACTCAAGTTTCCGAACTAAGAAACTTGGGCCTTTAACCCCCTCTCCTCTAAGGCATCTGCGGAGCCCGAAGATCTGCCTCGCAAAGTCGCAGCAGGCTTACCTCTGGCGTGATGCTGACGGGGGGCGCGGAAGGGCGCGGCGGCCTGACCGCGGAGTGCTGAAGGGGCACGGTGTAGTCGTCCTCCAGGATGGCGCCCGCCGGCAAGTGTCGCCCTCCGCCAGGACCGTCGCTCAGCGGCGACAGCGGCGGAGAGGCGTAGAGTGGCGACGCGGGTTCGTCGAGGGGGGTAAGGGCGGGCTGCGGCGGGGGAGGGTGGCGCCGCCCGCGCCCTCGACCGCACTGCTGCAGCTGCTGCGTGAAGCTGAGAACAGGCGACATGGCCGACGCGGGGGGCGCCGACGGAGCGGGCGGCGCCAGAGGCTGTTGGTGCTGCTGCAGGTGCGCCTCGCGTGGCGTGGGGGCGCGCGGGCCGCCCGAGGAATGTGTGGAAGTGGTGAGGTTGCCGGAGGACTTGGAGGACGAGTGCTGGCCGAGGGACGCCACGGAGCGCCGCTTCTCGAAGGTGGACTCGGGTGACTCCGCCGGCGATGCCGTCAGGCCCGGGCACAGCAGCGCCGAGCAGGGCTTGGTCTCCGCCGTGGAGCCTGAGCCCACGGACGAGGGCGCCGCCAAGCCCCGCCCCACGCCGCCCGCCTGCTGCTGTTGGATCAGGCTCTCTTCCAGCATGCGCGCCACGTGGATGTGGCCGCCCTTGAGTGCCACCTTGATGGCCGTGCGCCCGCAGCGGTCCGAGTGCGCAGGGTTGGCGCCATACTGCAGCAGCACGGCCACGCTGGCCTCGTGGCCCTCCTGCGCCGCGATGCTGAGCGCCGTAGCGCCTTGCGAGCAGGTGTGGTCCACGTTGGCGCCGTGCTCGAGCAGCAAGCGGACCACCTCTGCGTGGCCCTGCCAGGCCGCGCTCTGCAACGGCGTCCGGTTCTCCTTGTCGACCGCGTCCACGCGCGCTCCCCCCTGCAGGAGGAGAGCGACCATTTCGGCGTGGCCTTGCCAGGCGGTCACGTGCAGGGGCGTACGGCCCTCCAGGTCCGTGCTCTCCACGTCGGCGTTGCTCTCCATCAGGAAGCGCGCCATGTCCAGTCGGTTCTCTAAGGCCAGCAGGTACAGCGTGGACCGCCCGTCGGCGTCCTTGTAGTGCAGGTCCGCCTCCCGGCACAGCAGTAGGTGCACCACATCCTTGTGGCCCTCGAGCGCCGCCACGCGCAGCGCCGACCGCCCGTCGTGGCTCGTGTGGTGGATGTTGGCGCCCGCGTCCAGCAGCGACGCCACCACGGCGGCATGGCCCTCCTGCGCGGCCAGCACCAGCGCGTGCTTGCCGTCGTTGTCCACCTCGTTGACGCGCGCGCCCGCCTCCACCAGCGCCTCGCACACCTCGCAGTGGCCCTCGAAGGCGGCGTAGTGCAGCGGCGTGAGGCCGTCGTGGTCCTGGTGGTCGACGACGGCATCGCGCTCCAGCAGCGTCATGACGACGCTGCCGTGGCCCTCGCTGGCCGGCACGCAGAGCGCCGCCACGCGCAGCGCCGACCGCCCGTCGTGGCTCGTGTGGTGGATGTTGGCGCCCGCGTCCAGCAGCATCTCCACGATCTCCGAGTGGCCCATGTAGGCGGCGGCGATGAGCGGTGTGCGCCCCTCGCTGTCGGCGCGGTTCACCGCCGCTCCGTGCCGCAGCAGCGCGGCAACCACGTCCTCGTGGCCGCCCCACGCGGCTGCTCGCAGCGCCGTCCGCCCGTCGCCGTCGGCCAAATCCACCTGCGTACCGCCGGCCAAGAGCGCCGTGACCACGCCTGTGTGGCCACCCCAGGCTGCCGAGCGCAGCGCTGTCCAGCCGTCGGCGTCCGCGTGGTCGGGGTCGGCCCCCGCGCTCAACAGTGTGGCCACCACCTCTGCGTGGCCCTGCCAGGCCGCGCTCTGCAACGGCGTCCGGTTCTCCTTGTCGACCGCGTCCACGCGCGCTCCCCCCTGCAGGAGGAGAGCGACCATTTCGGCGTGGCCTTGCCAGGCGGTCACGTGCAGGGGCGTACGGCCCTCCAGGTCCGTGCTCTCCACGTCGGCGTTGCTCTCCATCAGGAAGCGCGCCATGTCCAGTCGGTTCTCTAAGGCCAGCAGGTACAGCGTGGACCGCCCGTCGGCGTCCTTGTAGTGCAGGTCCGCCTCCCGGCACAGCAGTAGGTGCACCACATCCTTGTGGCCCTCGAGCGCCGCCACGCGCAGCGCCCGACCGCCCGTCGTGGCTCGTGTGGTGGATGTTGGCGCCCGCGTCCAGCAGCATCTCCACGATCTCCGAGTGGCCCATGTAGGCGGCGGCGATGAGCGGTGTGCGCCCCTCGCTGTCGGCGCGGTTCACCGCCGCTCCGTGCCGCAGCAGCGCGGCAACCACGTCCTCGTGGCCGCCCCACGCGGCTGCTCGCAGCGCCGTCCGCCCGTCGCCGTCGGCCAAATCCACCTGCGTACCGCCGGCCAAGAGCGCCGTGACCACGCCTGTGTGGCCACCCCAGGCTGCCGAGCGCAGCGCTGTCCAGCCGTCGGCGTCCGCGTGGTCGGGGTCGGCCCCCGCGCTCAACAGTGTGGCCACCACCTCTGCGTGGCCCTGCCAGGCCGCGCTCTGCAACGGCGTCCGGTTCTCCTTGTCGACCGCGTCCACGCGCGCTCCCCCCTGCAGGAGGAGAGCGACCATTTCGGCGTGGCCTTGCCAGGCGGTCACGTGCAGGGGCGTACGGCCCTCCAGGTCCGTGCTCTCCACGTCGGCGTTGCTCTCCATCAGGAAGCGCGCCATGTCCAGTCGGTTCTCTAAGGCCAGCAGGTACAGCGTGGACCGCCCGTCGGCGTCCTTGTAGTGCAGGTCCGCCTCCCGGCACAGCAGTAGGTGCACCACATCCTTGTGGCCCTCGAGCGCCGCCACGCGCAGCGCCGACCGCCCGTCGTGGCTCGTGTGGTGGATGTTGGCGCCCGCGTCCAGCAGCGACGCCACCACGGCGGCATGGCCCTCCTGCGCGGCCAGCACCAGCGCGTGCTTGCCGTCGTTGTCCACCTCGTTGACGCGCGCGCCCGCCTCCACCAGCGCCTCGCACACCTCGCAGTGTCCCTCGAAGGCGGCGACGAGCAGCGGCGTGAGGCCGTCGTGGTCCTGGTGGTCGACGACGGCATCGCGCTCCAGCAGCGTCATGACGACGCTGCCGTGGCCCTCGCTGGCCGGCACGCAGAGCGCCGCCACGCTGAGCGCCGTCCTGCCGTCCACGTCCTGGTGGTTGACGTCTGCGCCCGCGTCCAGCAGCATCTCCACGATCTCCGAGTGGCCCATGTAGGCGGCGGCGATGAGCGGTGTGCGCCCCTCGCTGTCGGCGCGGTTCACCGCCGCTCCGTGCCGCAGCAGCGCGGCAACCACGTCCTCGTGGCCGCCCCACGCGGCTGCTCGCAGCGCCGTCCGCCCGTCGCCGTCGGCCAAATCCACCTGCGTACCGCCGGCCAAGAGCGCCGTGACCACGCCTGTGTGGCCACCCCAGGCTGCCGAGCGCAGCGCTGTCCAGCCGTCGGCGTCCGCGTGGTCGGGGTCGGCCCCCGCGCTCAACAGTGTGGCCACCACCTCTGCGTGGCCGTGTCGCGCTGCCAGGTTGAGCGGCGTCTGGCCCGCCCTGTCCTGCAGGCCCAGACACGCCCCGCGCTCCAGCAGGAGCCGCACCAGCGAAGCGTCGCCCTGGTGCGCCGCGCTGTGCAGGAGGGAGCGGCCGCCGCTGTCCACTTGGTCCACCGGGCCGCCGCGAAGGTACGGGTAGAGAGGGTCCTCGCGGTGTCGCCGGCGACGACGCTCGCGCCGACGACTGCTGCTACTACTGTGGTCGCTACTATGGCGCCCGCTCGTGCTGCTGTGTCGCCCGCCCGTGCTCTGGCGTCCCCCTGTGCTCTGACGGCCGCCCGTACTCTGACGGCCTCCCGTGCTCTGGCGCCCGCCCGTGCTTATGCGGCTGTTCGTGCTGTGGCGGCCCGTGCTGACTCCCTCCGTGCTGCGGCCGCCCGTGGTCCCCTCGCCCACGAAGTGACCCGGCAGCGGCACCATCGTCACGTACTCTTCATCCTTTTCCTCCTCGTAGTCCCGACTCTCGGCCTCCAGCTGCCGCAGCCGCTCCTCCTCGCCTTGATCCTTCTCCTTCTCCTCCTCCTCCATCGACTGCTCCTTCATCTGCAAAAGGTCCACCTCGCACGCCAGCTCCTCGAGGGTCTCCTGCCGCACCTCCTCCTGCCCTTCGTCCTTTCCTTTCACTTCCTGCTCCTGTAAATCTCTCTCCACCTCGCCTTCGTCCTGATTCTCGTTGGCCACCACCTCCACTTCGGCCTCCACCTCTCCCTCCTCCTCTTCCTCCTCCTCCTGCTCCAGCTCCTCGTACCTCACCTCCGTGGGCGGCCCTTCCTCGTCGCCGGCCTCGTCCACCTCGTCATCCTCTTCATCCTCGTCGTCGTCATCATCTTCGTCATCCTCATTGGGTTGGTCATCCGGGAGCGAAGCGCCCGCCTCCTGCAGGATCCTCAGCGCCCTCGGATCGCGCGGGGGCGGAAGGTCACGGCACTGCTCCAGGGGCGCGCCGCACGACACCATCCACAGCGGCAGGTGGAAATGTTCAAGAGGTGGCTTCACGTGGATGCGCGAGAGGTGGAGCGCCAGCTGGTGCACCTGCGTCACGTCGAGGCTGGGCGCGTCCATGGAGAGACACATGGCCAGCATTGCATGGCCGTCCGCAACGTCCACCAGGTACTTCTGCGTGCAGTGCTTCACGTCGAGCAGCCACTCGGCGAAGCTGTGGTGGAACAGCAGCACGCGAAGCTCATGGTCGGGCGCCAGCACGCGGCGCAGCAGGGACCAGCGTTTGGCCCAATCCTCGTCGGCGAGGTCCGGCAGGCGCGTCTCCACGGCGCGGCGCAGCTCCTCAGGCGAGAGCGGCGCGCGCGCGGCCAGGATCGCCGCCAGGAGGGGCATGACGCGCTGGAAGTGGCGCCGCGGGTACAGGCGCTGGCACAGCCACAGGTACAGGCCGTTGAGCGTGCCGGGGATGTGGCGGATCTCCCTGAGCGTGACCCAGCCCTCCGCCACGCCGTCCAGCACGCGCTCCAGGTACAGGAAGCAGCCGTTGCTCTTGATGTGCAGCTGGTTGAGCATCTCCGCCGTCTCGCGCGACAGGTGGTGCCGCAGCGCCGGCTCGCGGTCCAGGCGGCACAGAATGTACTGCTGCACATCGCGCACCACGTGGCCGCGCCGCAGGTCGTCCAGCGCGACCTTCCTGAAGCCAGCGAACTGCCGGATGACGGAGCGCGAGGTGCGGCGCGCGGTCACCACCAGCAGGAGCCACTGCGGCAGCAGGTGGTGGTGCGTCGCCAGGAGCTCGGCGATGCTGCGCGAAGGCCCACTGTTGTTGGCGTCGGCCAGGTTGGCGTCGCGCGGCGCGGCGGTCGAGGGCGGCTGCAGGTCCGTCTCATCGATGCTGTCCACCACCAGCAGCAGCGTGCGATCCGGCGGGTCCAACTCCAGCAGCGGGAACAGAACGGCGCGCTTGAGCGCCTCATCGGGATTGGCGTGCAGCGCGCACGGTTCGAGGGCGCTGCGCACGTCCGCGGCCTGCACCTTGGCGTCGTAGCCCGCCAGCAGCGGCGACTCCGCCAGCTGCTCCACTAGGGACTGCACGAAGCATCCTACGCTCAGGGAGGCGGCGTTGTGGGCGTGGCAGAAGTGGTGCGCCAGCAGCCGCGCCTGCAGCGCACTAGCGTGGCGTCCGTGCGAGGCGGTGGGCGTGACCAGCTCCGTGCAGAGTGCGGTCTTGCCGGTGCCGGGGCCGCCCACGAGCAAGGCCCCGCACGTCTTGGCCGCAGGCCGCTGCTCCAGGCACGCCCATAACTTAGCCCACGCCCACTCGCGACAAAGAAAGCGCCGCCCAGGAACGCCGCAATCTGTAGCCATGGCGGCGGCGGCGAGGGCGGGGCGGGCGTGGGCGGCGGGGGCGCTCAGGGCACACCCTGGGGAGGGCTCACCCTGCCCCCGGCCTCGCTTGCCCCCATCACTCGCCCGCGGCGACCCGCGCTCCTGCAACAGAAGAACGCGTTAGGCACTGAACAGTGAGAGTGAGTGCGTGTGGATGCGTGTGATTATCTATATACTTGTATGTATGTGTATGCATACCTACAATTGTAAGAATGCAATGAACTGGCATTAAAGTAAAATACACACACACACACACACACACACACACACACACACACACACACACACACACACACACACACATATATATATATATATATATATATATATATATATATATATATATATATATGTATGTATGTATGTATGTATGTGTGTGTGTGTGTGTGTGTGTGTGTGTGTGTGTGTGTGTGTGTGTGTATATATGTGTGTATATATGTACACACACACACACACACGCACAAGCACACATATACATGTACACACACACACACACACACACACACACACACACACACACACACACACACACACACACACACACACACATATATATATATATATATATATATATATATATATATATATATATATATATATACGTAGCATGCAACACTTAAAGGACAAAGCGTCTTCTTATATAAAGTTCTGACTTAGGCCTACTCTTGCCATCCATTTGCAGTCCAAGAAGAAAAGTTATTTTTCTCTTGATTTCAGCATAGGCCTATATAATCTCTTGCGTAATATAAAAAGAATAACAAGTTCATTATTTACAGTAACTAAAAGCAAAATCAAATAGCTCTCAAACCTACCATTAGTGCTACCATCATCATCGTCACTATCATGTTTATCATTGGTATCAGTACCATCATTATCATTATCCCTATGATCATAATGGCTCCAAAACATCATCAAAACCCAAGAGTAGTTAACCCTCGAAAACAACGCGACAGAAAAAGGGATTTACAGAAAACGGAACACTGAATAGGGTAACTGCAATAGACTTGAGCATAGCGTGAAATTATAACTTTTGCGGGAATGACGAAATAATTGAATTATGCATTAACAAACCGCATCAAACAATTCTTGTAATGTCATATCGTATTTTGGTAAATCACATCCGTTACTATCAAACCATACGATATCGTGAGTCTCATTAATTTTCCGTTATCATAACCATTATCATTGCAAATATAATGATTATCATGGTTATAATTATCACTACTTATCTCAGTGTCATCATAAATATACCTAACCATTATCATCATCCCTATTACAAACCATTATCAATATAATCATACAACCACCATTATCAATACTAAAACTATTATATCCCTAATTATAATAATAACCATAACTTTTCAAACTGCCATTACCATCATGACCATCGTCGCCAAGATGACCTTTGACAGAAAAGGAATATCTCTGAATGGAGCCTAATACTGCAAAAAGTTCAAAGTTCAGAGTGAAATATAAATAACAATAATAAATGTTTCAATGGGGAATGGAACGCTGTTGTTTCGTTGTTCTTGTTTTTCTATTTTTGTTTTTCTGTTTCTTGTTTTCTCGGATGTGGGTTTCACTTGAGCTATGCGAAGAGAGAGAGAGAAAAATCTGGAAGTAAGTGTATATAGTGAGCTTTGTTAGCGGCGAGTAGAGCAAAAATGAGATGTGATGATGATGATGATGATGATGATGATGATGATGATGATGATGATGATGACTCAATAGATGAAAAGCTCACCGAAACAAAAACATACATCAAACTTTGCAAAGCCAAAAGAAGCCACAATATAAACCGAACGCCGACGCCCCCGCACACTTACACGAAATATGAACAGGAAATGAACATCACACGGCGAATATTTGCTTGATCCCCGACGTTGCCTCTCTTAAAGGACATTTTTGTTTCCAGTCAAATATTCTTTCATCATTTTTTTTTTATTTATTCATATAGTATTACATAATTTTTGTTACCGTTTTCAATCTTCTATTTTTCTTTTACTTGACTTGCTGTAGACATAGAACGGCGGGAGAGAATCCAGCCAAGGGGAGGACGGAGCAAACCCAGAGGGAAGGACACAGGGGTAACTATGATTTTTTTTTTGCACACACACATACGCATACATATTCTCTTTCTCTCTCTCTCTCTCTCTCTCTCTCTCTCTCTCTCTCTCTCTCTCTCTCTCTCTCTCTCTCTCTCTCTCTCTCTTCTCTCTCTCTCCCTTTCTTCTCACTCACACACTCCCTCTCCCTCTCCCCCACTCTCTTTCTTCTCACTCACACACTCGCACTCACTCTCACTCTTACTCACACACTCACTCAATCTCTCTCACTCTCACTCACACTCACACTCACTCTCACTCACACTCACACTCACTCTCACTCACACTCACACTCACTCTCACTCACACTAAACTCTCACTCACATACATAAACATACATATAGATATACCACATGGATTACCCACCATCATAAAAAAAATACCCCCCCACACAGCGCCCGTTCCCCCCCCCCTCCACACTCCTCCTGTCCTCCTTCCCTCAAGCTCCTACGTCCTTGACACGGACAGGAGCCAGGAAAAAAAGGACCCGGGCTACGTACGAAAGGCGTGCGTTAAGTGGGCGTCCTGAGGGAACTTCCGAGGGCGTGGGGGGGGGGGGGCAAGGCATGGGCCCGAAGGAGGGACGAATCAATACATTCCCTCCCACCGCTTGTCCTGCTTGTCCACGCCCACATGCACGCCCACGCCTTCAGTCCACCTGATGAGGGCGCCCGATGCAAATGCAATCGACATCGGTTATGTTGCATTACGGGCTCGGCGACTGATGGCCTGACTGGATGACTGACAGGCATGATCTGCTAACTAATATGTGACTAAGTGGCTGGTTAAACAGGTGACTGACCGACTGCCTTCCTTCCTTTTTCCCTCCCTTCCTTCTTCCCTTCCTTTTTCCCTCCCTTCTTTCCTTCTTTTCCCTCCTTCTCTCCCTCCCTCCTTCCTTCCTTCCTTCCTTCCTCCCTCCCTCCCCCCTCCCTTCCTTCTTTCCTTCCTTCCTTCCGTCTTTCCCCTCCCACCTTCCATCCTTCCTCCCTTCCTTCTTTCCCCTCCCTCCCTCCTTCCTTCCTCCCTCCCTCCCTCCCTCCATCCTTCCTTCCTTCCTTCCTCCCTCCCTCCCCCCCTCCTTTCCTTCCTTCCTTCCTTCCTTCTTTCCCCTCCCTCCTTCCTTCCTTCCTTCCTTCTTTTCCTTCCTTCCTACCTGCTACCTACTTACTTGTCTACTTGCCTGCCTGTCTGCCTGCATGACCGATCACCCAGCCAACGGGCTCTTCCAAATGCATGGCGGTTTAACATGCCACTTTGGACGAGTGACCCACAGCCAATCGAACTGATATATTAAGAGTGAAATGCAAGATAGTGATAAAGGGAAAAAAATATAAATAAAAAATAAGAAAGAAATCATTGCGAATAGGATAATGATATAAATATATGGGATTAAAAAACAACAACAACGTTATACGGTTCCACTGACTGAGAAAGGATGAATAAAAGAATGAAAAAAAAATCCTTATCCTTATTCCCATTCTATCTTATCCCATCCCTTTTCCCTTCTCTTTTCCCTTCTCTTATCGTCCCCCCTCCCACTCCTTCCCTCCTACCCTCTTTCCTCTCTCTCACAATCCCTCCCTCTCTCCCTCTTGCCTCATTCCTTCTCTCCCTACCCTCTCATCCTTCTCTTCTCTTCTCTTCTCTCCTCTTCTCTTCCTCCCCTCCCATCCTCTCCTCACCTCTCCTCTCCTTTTCTTTTCTTCTCTTCTGTCCCTCCCCTCCCATCCTCTCCTCTCCTCTCCTTTTCTTTTCTTCTCTTCTCTTCTGTCCCTCCCCTCTCATCCTCTCCTCTCCTCTCCTTTTCTTCTCTTCTCTTCTGTCCCTCCCCTCTCATCCTCTCCTCTCCTCTCTTCTCCCTTACTTACTCTCCTCTCCTCTCCTTTTCTTTTCTTTTCTTCTCTTCTGTCCCTCCCCTCTCATCCTGTCCTCTCCTTTTCTTTTCTTCTCTTCTCTTCTGTCCCTCCCCTCTCATCCTCTCCTCTCCTCTCTTCTCCCTTACTTACTCTCCTCTCCTCTCCTTTTCTTTTCTTTTCTTCTCTTCTGTCCCTCCCCTCTCATCCTGTCCTCTCCTTTTCTTTTCTTCTCTTCTCTTCTGTCCCTCCCCTCTCATCCTCTCCTCTCCTCTCCTTTTTTTTCTTCTCTTCTCTTCTGTCCCTCCCCTCTCATCCTCTCCTCTCCTCTCTTTTTCTTTTCTTCTCTTCTGTCCATTCCCTCCCATCCTCTCCTCTCCTCTCATTTTCTTTTATTCTCTTCTCTTCTGTCCCTTCCCTCTCATCCTCTCCTCTCTTTTTCATTTCTTCTCTACTCTTCTGTCCCTTCCTTCTCATCCTCTCTTCTCCTCTCTTTTTCATTTCTTCTCTTCTCTCCTATCCCTTCCCTCCTATCCTCTCCTCTCCTCTCTTTTTCTTTTCTTCTCTTCTCTTCTGTACCTCCCCTCCCATCCTCTCCTCTTCTCTCCTTTTCTTTTCTTCTCTTCTGTCCCTCCCCTCCCATCCTCTCCTCTCCTCTCCTTTTCTTTTCTTCTCTTCTGTCCCTCCCCTCTCATCCTCTCCTCTCCTCTCTTCTCCCTTACTTTTATTCTCTTTTCTTCCCTTGTCCCCCAATTTTCCCCTCCTCCCACCCCTCCCTCGTCCACCCCCCTCACATACACACCCCGGAACAGGTTTCCATGACAACCGCTCTATATCTACGCCGTCCCCTGTCCGCCCTCGTCGACACGCAATCCACAAATAATAAACAACGACAATAAACAAAATAGCAAACAAATAAACAAACAAGCAAACAAATAAACAAAAGAGAACTTCAAGCACATAAACAACAAAAAGATACAAATTACAGATGGTTGAGAGTTTATGGGGGTGGGGGTGGGGGGGGGCGTAATCCCCCTCTACCCCCCCACCTCAACCCCATGACCCCGGACGACCAACAGGTGGTGGGGTTGCCAGCTGCGACTTTTTGAAATACCCAATCTGTTCTCTCTCTCTCTCTCTC